TGGGCTGCATTTAATTGAGTTATAGGAAGCAGCTTTACCATAATCAAACCTAATTAAACAATTTGTTATGCAATTAGCCAAAGAGTCACACACAAAAGAAAAAAAAGAACAACAAACTACCTGTACACTAATTTATCATAATCTGTCAGATACTTTCGTTTTTTCTCAGCTGAAACCAGGCCAACAGCAGCATCCGCCTCGTGGCAGGCAAATTAGTCACAAATGTGTCAGCAGCAGCTCTTCGGCCACTTGCCACTAGCCCGATTAGCATAAACAAATGGTTCGCCCGATGCTCCACATTTAAAGCCCAAATATAAGCAGATCCAGCTGCTGATTCATCTAGCTGCCGCTGTTTGTCTTCAATCACAATTTGTATCTTTGCTTCTAGAGGCATGAATGAGTGACTTTCGCCTAACTTCAACTCGCGCTGTTCGCCTCCTCAGCCAGCTGGCTGAGTCATCAGATCAAGTCGCAATCAAAACACATGTGTTGCATTCAATTTGAGGCTCGAGGCCAATGAAAGGTTTGCTCGCTGACTCACGGGCTTTCCACGCTGCTCAAATGCTTCTAACTGAGTCGAGCAGTCGCTGTGGAGCCTAGCTTCAGTCGGTTCACACAATTTAGTGGAGAGTCGTGAGAGCCACATAAGACGCGCCCATCGCTGCTTCATTGGTATTTCGAGCGCATTCTTCGACGGCTTCTTCTGCCTCTTCTCTTGTTTTTTCGTTGAATTTTCATGCGTAATTGATTTTGATGCATTTCCCTTCTGGCCGCTTTATATGCAAAGCGTGCTTAACACGTTTTGTTGAACCTTTTGATTTATTCGTTTGCCTTGAAATTTGGGTCATGAGCTGGAATTCCAGAAATATATTTGACAGCGCAAGCGTATAGTAAATCGGAGATAAGATTCGATATGATGTTGATAAGCGTTAATTGATTATTGATATTGACTTAATTAGGGGATTAAAATGTATATACACAATGCCAAGGATCATGATATGGACAGACGCTTTTGCCTATGCCCAAGTCTTAACTTTTCTATTTCCTGTTTTTCACGTGTTTCCCTCGCATATTTCACAGCTTATCTATTATTTATAACACTTTGTCAATTAGTGTTATACGACACAAACAACTAAATAACAAAATCTATTCGTTGTCATTTGCCATTAATCGCGGCTCTAAGCCCAGCTCAATGACTACTGAGCTTGGGCTCTCAATGCATACGGTTTCGCACCTGATACCTACAGCCTCAGAGCAACAATTGTTAATAAGCATCCGCCTTTACAGCAAGTCACATTTCCGACTCTATGTCATGCTAATGACATAGACCCAAAGCTCCCTCCGCCCGTTCCAATCTCAACGATCTTCACAAATAAACAAAAATTGACCCTGAACCTGAACGACGTCACGGCAGAAGCATGCAGTCGAATAGGAGATTATTAAGAGATGAAGAGAGAGAGAGAGAGAGAGAGAGAGGCGCGAGCCAGGCAGAGAGAGGGAGACAGGCAGAGAGAGAAACCCGCAAACCAGAAGCAACAGCAAATGACATAATTGTTTTTACTGCTGCGTTTCTTTTGACTGTTGTTTCTATACTCTGTACTCTAGAGAGCATGTCAAGTTTGTTATGATGGGAGTTAGAGTAGCGTATCACATTACCATATATACCATATATACTATATGCACTTCATTATATCCTATATATTTATTTTTAAAAGTGTTTCATCATAGAGATATCTTGACTTCGTGTCATCGACCAGTTTTAGTAGACTTCTCATTCCATATAACCAATATCTACTCAGAATCGAACTAAATTGTCAGACTTACCATAAATTTCACTCTAAAATGTTTTCTGTTTTCAAGATAATTCAGGAATTTTACTCTATGAATCATATCAAGTTACTATATCTAGAACTCTATATGACAGCTTGCTCTTAGAATCAGTTGTTTTATGAAAACTTTTGTGCTTAAAGATATATCTCTGTATATTATATATATATCTTTAAATATTCAAATTTCTCTAAAGATATGTAAAACATGAATTTATGGAAAAAGACTAACGCCAACAAGTCATCTACTATAGATTGCTCCACTCGAAAGGGTACACAGACTTCGTCTTGTTACATTCGCACTCTCGATTATTGCCAGCAATAATTATGCACGTAGTTTGAGGCGCAACGAATTGTAGCGCCTGGCCGGTGGGGGCAGTGCTAGGCCGGGTTACCGATTCGGGTTGGGATTGTGGCTGAACTCACCTTGACTGTGGGCAATTGAGCATTAACCTTCATGGCTGTCTGCGGCTGAGTCTGCGCGTCGAGGGGCTGCGCAGCTGGTTTGCTGGCTTGCAGCAGCTCTTGATATTGTTGTTCAAGCGTCGATATTTCGGGGTTTGTTGTTGCTTTGTTCGCCGACTTTTTATCTCTGGAGACACAGCTAGTTAGCGATAAGCGACGTGCGCTGCCGAAACGAAAGGTGCCAGCACCACCAACGCCACCGCCACCGCCACCAGCAGCACTCGATTTCTTTCGATTTGACTTATTGTTCTTACCAATGCTACACTCACTAACTATTTCACTTTGCTGCTGCTGTTTGGGCTCGCTGTTGATATGTAATGTTGTTGTCTTCTTACACCACAAGCCACTCAAACGGTTGCCCATGCTACAGGCTTATACCGGCACAACGAGTCTATGATAAGCAGCAATGAGCAATCGAAACTGTATACAAAGCGTTACATTGATACGACGATTCCAATATATATATAGATATATATAAGCTGACACACACACACATATATGTATTATTATGCTGAACAGAGGCAACCGGCGCGCATCTCAATTCGGCAAATACTGAAAATGGAATTCTTTCGAAAACCACAAAATGCTACACAAAAACGTTTGTCAGCTACGTCTCTCTGCGCGTGTGTGTGTGTTTGTTTATTTGTATGGTATGCGCGCTTTATAATGCCCAAAAAGAAAACAAAAAAACAGATATATATGTATATATATATGCGAGTGTGTGTGTGTGAGGCTCGGCGTCATCGGCAGCACAACTTTGTTTGTGTTTCAACAGCGAAAACTTCCTTTTGCCCGAACATTTGCTCGCGTACTAATCGATTTTTGTTCTTTTTACTTGCTCCATACCGGTTGACGCTCGTACACCTCGCCAGCTAGCTAGCTAGCCAGCACATTAATATGCCCAGAGCTGGCTATATACTCTATGCATGTGTACTACCTGTAGGTACCTGTAGCTATAGAGCCACACGCCCAACTTCATCAAAACGGCAAGAGTCACTCACGCTCACGTTTTGCCTTAGCTGAAGAGCTTGTCAAATAGTTTTCTAAGAACACAAAAGCAACAAACTACGAGGTGTTAAAAAGCTTATTAGCGAAAGCTTTACCGAATACTCAATACTCTACAGTAGAGAAGCTCGGAGTAAAAGGAGATACAAATAACAGAATAAGAGAAAAGCCAAATTCTTTTAAAAATTGAAGTTAGAAAAGCTCGTCATAAGTTCGAAAATCGAACTACATTCAATCTATATTTCGACACAGATCAACAAAAAGCATTCGCATAAATTAAAATATCGAAATATTTTTCGTATAACTATTTTCGATGATTGACGTATATATAATTCTAGAAGATAATAAATTTTGAATTATGAAAGGCTTAGAATATAAAATAAACTCTAAAAATTATAATACACTCACTCGTAAGGGTATGCCAACGTCTATTAGCTACTCAAGATATATGACACTTGCTCACAACTCCAATTAGATCCTTCATATGATAATTTTAGTTATCTGAGGTAATGTTTTGGTATCTAGCCGAACTTCCCGTTATCACATATGCCTTGCACTACTCTTATATGGGTCATCACATATGACTTTTAATGAAAATGTTGTCGTCTTGTTCGTATTATCAATGTATATTTTTGTAATCAAAAGTCTGAAGTACAATCGCTTCGCTGAGTGATTCACACTCGAGCTAATCTATTTATGAGGTGCAGGTGCATCTCCAAAATCAATAGCCCCATTTGTAGGGCATACAGAGTCGAGTTAGACAACGACGCACGAGCCATACTAAAAAATCAAAACCCAAGTCTACTGAATGCCGATTATTCATATAGCCATAACGTTTGCATATACTATATACATACAAATATATGCACACATACATACATTTATATATAAACAAGTCAACTGCCCGGCAGCAAGAAATCTGGCAAACTCATCGTTAGGCGTTTCTCTTGCTTCCCGATTCTTTATTTACCGCACCTTCCCTTTTAAAACGTGCTAAATATTATTTATTAATTAAGTTGACGCTATTTTCTGCCTATTTACCTCGGCAGCCGGTTTCACGAACTTAACTGGGAGTGTCATCAACCAAACTCTTCCCACCTCGCTGTCCCCCTCTCTCTCCCTTAACTCCGCGCCTCTTTTTGGTGTAGTCGCGTGAGGTGTGAGCTTTACAAATGATTAAATATATGGCATGAAATGACGATTGGACCTTCTGTTTGTGTTTGTAAAGCTTTTTTCGGGCTGTGGGTCAACAGAGCATGCAAAATAGCGAAAGCAAGCGAAAGGGGGAGAAGTGGACGTGAGGAAAAAGAACGAAAAAATGTACTTTAACTGACCTTTGGGCAGCGTCTATTAATAGTCATTAGGCAGGGTGAGTGTTGCTTATTACAGCTGTAAGTTTGTTGAGTGAAGAACATATGGGAATGGAACTTCGAAATGCGGAACTAACACTTTCTCTCTTATAATTAAGTTATAATCTTAACAAACTGTTGTTACGTTGCTCTTGCGTTATAAGAGTATGAAGTAGTTTTTTTTCTAATTATACTTGTACTGCTGTACTTACACTTATACCCAGCCTCGTACTTATACTTATACTGATACTCATAGTAATACAGATACTTATACTTATATATTTACTTATACTTCGACACACGCTTATACTTCAAGGTTTACTTACGTTTCCGTAATTTCTCATGCTGGAAGGACTCAGGCTGAAGAGTCTACCCAACTGATGATGTGTAGGAGAGCCATACTATTTGCTGGCGATATGGCAGTGGTTATATCTGTGAACATTGGTGAGTGCGAGTGCGAGTGATCTGTGGAGTAGAGTATACTTAATACTTATACAGATACAATTTAATGTATAAGATGGGGCTTACCACTCAGCTCCAATGCGGGCGACATTTCCTTGGCAAAGGCAAATAAATCATTGTTGTTGCGTATGTCGGATGAGTTGAGCGTTAGACTTGGCTTGCGTACGCCCAAGAAACTGGAGTTACTTGCGATGGAGGAGGCGCTGCCACTGCCATTGTATAATAAGGGGCTGGCATTGCAAGTGGGCGTGACATTCGGCAGCTTGTGCGACTCCAGCGGGCGATGCAGATTTGGGTATAAAACTGTTATTTCCTCCACTGCAATTGCCAGCTGCGGCGGCAGTAGATGTGTGACGCTTGAGCAGCGGCGCCGGCGGCAGCTGCGATGGTGAGTGCCGATAAATGCTGCTCGTCTGGGCATGGGCATGGGGCAGCGTCACTGAATCACCCTGTTGCTTGGGTATGGCCAGGCGCAGAGTCTGACGGCTGCTAGCCTACGTGCAGGCGCAAATTTATTAGCGGACGTCGCTTGTGTCTGGCTGTTGTTGTTGTTGGTGGCGCTGGCGCTGCTGCTGCTGTTGTGGTGAGCTTGCGCAGCTGTATTGACAAGCTGTGGTGAGTTCATTTGTTTACGATCGAGAGCGAAAGCGAGAGAGCGACCGTGAGAGAGCGAGAGCGATTTTGTGTGTTGAAGGAGAGCGCGGCGTATGCGCGATATTTTTCGTATTTATCAATGAATTCGTGTTGAATTTGTATTGTTATTGTTTTACGAGTTGCTATTGTTATTATTGCTGCTGGCTTTTCATTCAACGCCCCACTGCAGCAGTTGCATAATTACATAAACAACAACAAGGGAATTACTGAATTATGTGTAAACAATATATGTGCCAAAAGCTTACAGCGCGCCTCGCAATTTGTCGAATTTTCTTGAATTACTAAACTGCTGCATGCTGCCTTGGGACGTGCCCCTTGCTGTCACACTGTCTGCGGCGTCTTCGATGGCTCTGCCAGAGTCCCACTGTCCGCCTGTCCGACCGTCTCTGTGTGACCACTTTGTGTGGCAGCCAATGAAGGCGACAGCAAAATGCAGCCAACACCTTTTTCGTGCTTTTGTTGTTGTTTGTGTTGCTTTGTTGTTTCTTTTAGCACACGCTCAATTTATTGTGGCTGTGACTTGTTTGTTGGTATTTTAATGTTCTTTAGTTTTTATTGTTTCGATTGCCGTCGGTCTGAACTTGAGCTTTACGTGGTCGCTTTAATTTGGACGCGAATTGCTTGGCGGAGACACGGCGAGGCAGGCGAAGGCCGAGACGAAGACGGAGAGATACTGTCTCAGATTCTGGCACTGAGACAATCGCGTCGCGTTGCTCAATTTTCGTGACTTGCGTGGGAGCTGCCATAATAGTCCATATGGCATTAAATGGCGTGTTTAATCTGTAATATATATACATATATATGGAAGAGAGAGAGGGAGAGAGGGAAAGAGAATCCAGTTTAGTTTTTAATTGTACTGAGAATCGTAAATGAATCTTATTGCCTGTGCTTATATGTAAAAGTGCGTCGGTCGATCACAAACAACTGACTCAACTGACCTCGAAAAATCTAGAAATTAAAGGTATCGTAGGAACTTGTAAGGAAAGTATGTGTGCCAGACAGCCTAGACTATTGAATAACTTATTTTTAGATATAGTATCACTCTCTCCATTATTTCTTTTAGAATATTCTTATAATTATTTTAATTGATGTTTCATTTATGAAAATCGCATAGAAAGGCGACACTTAAGAGGAATCTCGAATAGCATAGGCAGCTAGAACTGAACTGTTTCTTACTTAACGCTTAGCTCTTATCAAGGATCTCTGATTCGTCTTTCGCCTTTCATTATGCAAACTCATTCGCTCTTTCTCTTTTGTTATACAAATTCTTAAGTTAAAAGGCCCATTTTTACTTTGTATAAAATACTCAGTGACTCGTTTACTTTTTATAAATATCTAGAAAACATTTTAGTTTATGAAAATCGCATAGAAAGGCTAGGCTTGAGAGTAAAAAGAGCTGTTTAGATAAGAGATTGTAGGTAGAGGTGGGTCGAGAGTTAGTCCTACTTCATCTCCCTCTCTCTCTCTCTCTCTCTCTCTCTCTTAGACCTAGTTTTCTTTATAACATTTCTGTCCAACAAATTCTTAACTTTCCAGCCTAATTCTTGAGCTCTTCCAAGTTTCAACCAGAAATTGAATTGAATTAGTTTTGCTTGTCAATCAGAGTTGATCAGTTGCATTGATAGTTAGCAAATCAATCGCTGCGAACTGACATCTAATTAGCAACGATGTCAGCTGAGTGCACTGATTGAATGTCAAGCGACTGCCACAGATGATGGATAGTGTCTGAGTCGATTGTCAAGTGCGACAGAGACATGGCCTGTGCGACACTTGGGCCACAGCATTGGGCATGGATACGTTTTTAATGAGTTTGCAAATCTTTTTCATAGGCAGCTGAGATGTGATTTGTGAAAAGCCGTCGGCCTTTGGCGGCACAAACGTTGCCTTACACAGAGTCTTAGCTGAAATTTCTGGCATATTTGCACACGGATTTACAATAAATTGCAATTATGCAAATGAGGCGAGCAGCGAGAAACGCGAGAGCTGCGAGACGTCCGAGAAGTCTGAGAATTGCAAGCCGAGAACCGGTACATTTAAATCTTCAAATAAAATGGAAACATTAATCACGGCGATTACTTGGGCACAGTTTAGCAATTATAGATATTGACGAGGCGTGTCAAGTGGGCTGTTGATAAATGATTAGGCGGGAATCCATACGATTTCGATGCCAATTTGCCATTTGCCATTTGCCGTTTGTCAGCTCCAGTGAGCGCTGTAGGTCAAGTTCAGGCTCGAATACCCTTTGCTTTTTCAACTGTATTGTATGAGGCGATTTTGTTTTTTTGTAGCAGGCAGTTTTAGCTCTGTCTAAATCTGACTTTTATATATTTTTTTTGTTTTAGCTTAGATTTGCCAGCACGCGATATTTAAAGGCACATTACAGCTATGGGTACAGAACGGGTTCAGTTGAAGAATCTGCAATCATTTATGGAACTGACGGCGGAAGATCAGGAGCGCTGCAATGAAATGTTTAAGAACGAGCCCCTCGAGACCAAGCACATCATGAACAAATATGTCAAGCGCACTTCACAGATTCAAAAACGCGCCCGTCCCGATCCAGTGGACAACGAATGCTTTCTCTGCTACGACATCTATCCTCTGAACTTCAAGTACAGCACCGTCCTCTGCTGCCTGTGTGGAGTGATGCATCAGTTCTACCATGTGCTGTACATGAATGTGATCGAGGACACCAAAATGGAGCACTTGAGCCAGTTCATGTGTGACCTGCTGGCCAATCTGATATCTGCGGAGATACCACAGTTGACTAGTTTCGCGCTCAAGTTTGTTCTGTGCCGCGACAATCCAATCAACAAAAGTGTACTCAAGCTTTTCTCCGAATCGGAGAGCACGTCTAAACTATATACCAAGTATCCGTTTATACGCGAGACAAATGTGCTCCGGCAGTCACAGATTCACAATCCGTACGTGCAACTGGCCTGGCTCGAGATTATGCAGGGCAACATTCAGCAGTCCAACGTAACCGAGATTTTTCAAAAGCATCGTGACATGGCCAACACCAAGGAGGATCCCGTGCTGAAACTATTCGTCGAAGACTTCCACAACCTGGCCACGGATCTGCTTAAGTCGCGGTTTCTGGTTAACCTGCGCCTCTGCACCATGGAGCGCATCGATCTGTTCGAGCAGGTTATTCGTGCCCATCTGAAGATCTACAAAGATCGTGCAACTACCCGTTTATTTCTGTTCGAGTTATTGAGAGCTCTGTTGCACATCTACGATCTCTGAGCATTGGCATTCATTCGGCTATCGATTCAAATTGTTCGTAAAATGAATAACAAAAAAAATAAATATTATTTAAAGATTAACACTTCTTCGATTGCCCCAGCAGCTGCTGCTATGTTATGTATACTGCTTTTGCCAGCAGGGCGCCATCAGTCAGGATGGCCGAGTGGTCTAAGGCGCTGCGTTCAGGTCGCAGTCTACTCTGTAGGCGTGGGTTCGAATCCCACTTCTGACAAGATTTATTTTATTTATTTTTTTATGGTTTTGACTTTTGTTTTTATTCTTAATTTTATTTTTTACTTTATGTGCATTTCATGGGCCATGTTTTGCAACAGTTGAATAACCTGCTATAAAAAACCAAGCACTTAACCAAGTCTATAAAAACTGACGAAATCTTATCTTTTTCAAGTTGCGAACGTTTAATGGAGGAAAATAGCCATCGACATCGCATTAAAATGCATTCGACGTGCTCGCCAGGGGCTTAATAGTGCTTCTATTGAGCTCCATTTGATAAAGTGACATAATAAGGCACACGTGTAAGCCAAGTTACTACTATTAAAATTATTGTATATAAAATGTGCTATATTTATTTATAACATTTTTCACCTGCTGCTTAAGCAGCCCAGATAAAAATATTATCGATAATATAAAACAAAAATATATATATATATATAAATTAAAACAGTTCAGACCTTGTACGCCAAACGCTTTGATTTCGATTCTGTTGACGCAGTTGCTTTGCGCCTCGTAGAAAACAAACTCTGCAAAATAATATGCTATATATACGTATATACATATAGGTATATGTACAACAGCAGAACTGACCCAACGAAAATGGCATTGAGCTCGTGCCCTGAAATTAAGTCTCAACTATGTCAACTGGCATATCGCCCCGCTTTGTTTATAAACAAATGCAACTTTTTTTTTCATCTTTTCTTTCATTACTTCATTTGATATATAATAATATATATATATATATTATTATATATATAGGAAAATGGTGTCAGCTTTATATTTCCCATATCGATATTCTTAACTCGATCAAATTTCTTTTGAATTTTAGAAAATTGCGTTGTTAGAACTGAAAATGTTTGACCTATATAAAAATTGCTTTGAAAACGACTTATCACGCAGGAGAGACGCGTGACTTAAGTCTCACTCAGTCTACATAGTATATAGCTGATAGTAAAATATTGCAAATGAATTTAGACTTGTTTATAGAGAATACAAAATCTTCGATTGAGGCAAAAGTTCAATGGTAATGCGGAAAATTATTCGCGGCATGTCAAAACATTTCATGCCATTTGGTTTTTTCCCTTAGATAAACAAACAATTAGCTTGAAATGCGCATGCATAGGCAAACATACGCACATATGTATGTGTGTGCGTATGTATGTGTGCATGTATGCGTATGTACATCTATAAATAGCTAAATAAAATAGTTGTCGGCATTAAGTCAAAGCGTTTTTCTTTTCAAATCTTATAAACAAAGCTCTGCTATTCTTCAGTTACAACTACAGCTGCAACGATTATATATATATACATATAATATATATATGTAATATATACCCCAGTCGGAACTGAAATTGAAAGCATTCCAATTTTAATTTATGCACAAGTGACAAAAACAACAACTGAATGAATGAAACTTTTCCACACATAAATCAACTGAAAATGTCGAGAAACTCATTTAAATATATCTGTGTAGAACAAACACCTCAATATATATCATAAATAATATTCATATATATTTGTTGAAGTATTTAAAAAGAAAAACGAACAACAAAAGCTGCCGCCGACTTTAATGAGAGAGGATTGTAAAGAGAAATGGAAACGCCTGTAAGATTTGGGTTCAAGAATGCGGGTTAACCCAATTTCTGGCTGGTCCCGAAATTTCGAAACTCCAAGTTTTTTTCAGAGCGACAGGCTTAGTAGGCGAAAGTTTATTTTTTTACAAATAAATCGGTTAATGTTTTTTAATGACTAATCTCAGCTCAGCTCTGGCGCTTATTATTTTGTTGTTGTTTTGCCTGAATGCCCTGATGTCTCCGGGCCCAGCCCACAATATAACTCAGAGATAAGATTTATTTAGAGAAGAATATAAGACACCGTCAATACTTTGTCGGCGTTTATATTTATGTTGCAGATCGAATCAGTTTAATTTGCAATTATATTGCCATGAAAATGCATTTAAATCATATATTTTATAAATTGAACAAGCCCAGCGAATTACTGAATAATTTTTTAGTTATTTAAAATGCCAACATATTAACAGCTGAGAGAAATTTAACAGAAAGAGCTCTCCACATGAGCACTTCGTCGCTAACAGTGCGTATTAACAGCGCATGTTCGAGCAATACAAAATGAGCTTTAGCTCTTCTCATGCCAACTGTCAGGATGGCCGAGTGGTCTAAGGCGCTGCGTTCAGGTCGCAGTCTACTCTGTAGGCGTGGGTTCGAATCCCACTTCTGACAAGATTTTTTTATTGTTTTTTTTAAATAAACAACTTTTTATAATTTTACCTTTAACTATGAAAAGCTTTAAATTATGTTATTTTCCAAATATATGCAAAACATTTCACTTAAAAGCAGATTTTTTTCGCATATGTTTTTCTGTGTTTTGTTTTCTCTTTTTTTTCGAATGTGAGTGGGTGTCATCTGTGTGGCTGATGGAAAACAGCAGCCACCGCCAACCACAACAACCACAACCAGAACAACAACAGCCCTGCTGGAACCGTGAATTAGTACGTATTGCCAGTCGTCTGCACAGTTGTTTTTGAACTAAACTTTGTTTTGAAAAGCCATTTAAAGTGCCAAAATCAATTAGTATAGCTGTTTCTGTCTGCCGTGTTTAACAATTTAATTACGCTTTTTATTTATATTCAATCATTTATCAATGCCTCAGATCTGTCTGCCCTTATTCACGCCGCAAGTCTTATGTTGATTTTTATGCGCATCCTATTGATTTGCAATTAAACAAAAGCCAGACAGCTTCAGCTGCTCCGACTTGTATACAATTTACTTTTGCTTTGTATTTATGAATATTATTGTGATTCTGTGTGTCTGTGTGTGTGTGTTATAAATATTTGAGAATTGGATTCGTGAATATGCTGAGTATAATCATAAACTCAATGTGCAACTTACAGAAAACGCAACTCATGCGCTGGCCCATCCCAATCACAGGGGGCTGCGGGCAGACGTTCCGTTCCGTCAGAATCTCGTGCGGCAGATAAGCAACGGAAGCTGCGGTTTACTGCCGCTGAAGGCGAGGCTATGGATGTGGATATGGGATGTTCAATCTCGACTGCTGACGGCTGTTAGCTGTTGGCCGCTGGTTGGCGTCGGTGGCAGCGGCGACGGCCGTTGGTGTCTCAAATTCCTGCAAGTCAATCAACCCGTCAGTTTCTCTTGTTCTTTTGTTATTTTTGTGTGTGTTATTTTTGTAATTTTTTTGCTTCTTTTGACCAAGCGACCGACCGACCGACCAAATGTTCCGTACAATCAATTTTGGCGCTGGCGTTGTATTTATAGCCACATGGAACACACATAAAATTTCGACGTAAGATTTCGTAATTGCAAAGCACGCAAGAAGTATAGGAAATGCGCTTTGGCTTTGGCAAGCGTGTGACAACCACTGTTGCGGAAACACTTGGCTGGCTCAACTACTACTGGAGGATTCACTAGTAATTTGCTATAGTTTAGCGATAAGACGCACAAGCGCTGCGACAATACAACTCGTAACTGACTAAATGTAGCTGTAATTTTCCGTTAAAACAATTTTCGAACCGACGCGTTGCGCTTTGCGCTGTTGACTGCAGCGGCAGCAACAGCAAAGCAAGCAGCAAACAACCTCAAAGTAAGCCGATGGCAAAGCGTCGTGAAGAGTGCAGATTCTGCAGAGCAGCGAGCCTCGCTCACTCTTACTCTCTATCTCTGCTCGCGTGACGTCACAGCAGTCAGTTTTGGAGCGTGTGCAGTGCGTTTCAGACTCACACACACAGCTGTGACGTCGCTGTTAACGCTGCGCATCACCTTCTCGGCACTCTGTCCATGCAATGATCGGCATAGACAGAGAGCAAGCATAGCGCGCATATGTACATATTAGAGAGAGCGCGAGTGAGAGAGAGAGGGGAAGCGTGAGAGTGAGTAAACAGCATTTGCTTGCTGTGTGGTGCGCCATAAAGTTTTGTTTTTATTTCGTGTCTTTTTATTTGTCTTGGCTTCTTCACTTCACACACTGATACACTGATACAATGATACAATGATACACTGATACAAAGGCAGCGTCAAGCCCGCATGCGTGGGTAGCACACACACACACAAACGCACAAGCAGGCGTTCATATGTCAAAGCTTTAGCTGCACGTGCAGTGCGAACTCTCAAAGCGCAAAAACCATAAACAAAACTAAAAAAAAAAAAACAAAAATAAACAGCAAAAAAGTGAAGAGAAGAGGCAAAAATACAAAATTGCATGGCTAATTAAATTTCTATTAGTCAAGCGGCAAAAACAAAAAACAGAAACAAGCGTTTAAACGTGTTTTCAAATTGATTTCAGCTCGCTTTCTTTGTGCCTCAGAGCTCTCGCTTAAACATTACGTATACGCCCCCATAATCGCCCATATTGTGTGTGTGTATATGAGTGTGTGTTATGAAAAGAGCGCAGAACAGGCAAACATCTGAAACAATGAACCTGTTAATTAACTTTGCTCAAATTTGGCATAAAATGTCGCGACTCTGCGCTAAGAGAAAAGCCACTAAGAACATATATAGAATATATACAAATATGTATGTAGATATGTACATAAGTCCAAAACAAATGATTAATGCTTCTAGCTCTTAAAGTGGTCTTTCAATTGTCTGTCTGCCCGCTTTGGCTGTGCGTTTGTCTACGACTCCCAACTTTGAACTTGAAAGAGTCTGTTGACTTCTGCTTTTGGCTCTTGGGCGGGTGGTGTCCAAGCGAACAGCTCATAAATCGTGGCAATGCTGAACAAATAAGCGATTTTATGATTAGATAAGAATCTGTTAAGCTGCAA